GACAAAAGTCCCTGTACTATAGCACAGTGTCACGGGTAAAATTTTGTCAAAAATAAAAAAGTAAGGGGGAGTCTACACTTTTAATTATTATTAATTATTAATTAATTATTCATACCTCTCGGGTGAATGGTCACAGTGCTTACAAGATGAAGTAGAAGAGTGTCTCCGCCCGATACGCTTGCTGTTACTATGACGACAACGATGGGTGCCATGACAACACTCTCTATCTTCGTCGCTAATTGAGCCACGCCTCCTGGAAAATATCGGACTATTATCACAACTATCAGTAGAGGCATCAGAGAGAGTCCGTCGTAACGGTATTGGGGGCGGGGTCTCGTCGGTTGCCGTGGCAACAGGACCAGTTTTTATAGAGTCATAAATGCTTTCTTGAGATGTCATAATTGAAGATGGGCGTGGCCTTTTAACGACATCCGTATAAACAGGAGTGACTGCAGATAGACTATCGTATATTTGCTCAGTGTTTGGGGGCGTGGTCAATTTAGATGATGCCCCTCCCCCTGATGCTGCAGTCTTTGGAGGCGTGATCTTTGGAGGTGTGGCTTCACTACCAGTAGTGTGCTCATTCTAAAAATACAATTAAAGTTACTTTTAACATCTCCTGCTTAAAATTATTCATGAAAATAAATTAATTAGTTGAACAATGAATATCATTATCTTAACAGTCTGGCTGGCACACTACCATATATGGTCAATGGAATGTAAAGCAATCACAACCAATAGTGTCCTATTGTTCCATTATAAGAATGAATGAGACACAACTCAATACATAAATATAATTTATATTACATATGCCTTAATGTGTGTGTGTGCATAGTGGCTTGTAATAGATGTACTTGTACTATTATTATTATATTATACATGAGTAATTTATATGCTTTATATGACATACACTCCACATATTAAGATTATGTATATGTGGCTTGTAACAGGCACATGACAGCCATTGTTATGAGGAGATGAAGATCACATAATTTAGTTTGAGAAGAGGTTTAGAAACTCACTCACTATACATGTACATACAAATCTACCTTCCTTCCTTATCAATGGTGAAGATTACATTAACAATTACTGTACACATTACTGGTATTTATTAAGATAAATGTAAATATACAAAGCTTTCTATAATAAACACTGTCACTATATTGTTTGTTTGTTCATGGTTGTTGTTGTTATGTAGCAGCTGTTAATGTACATGTACTTGTAAGTCTTCAGTAATCACTTCAAGCGATGAAACCTTTTACTAGTAAACCATTTCCCTCCCAAACAGCACCTGCTCCACTCACTCACCAGTGAATCCATAGCTTCCTGGAGCTCTCTCTG